GTTTAGGGTTTAGGGTTTAAAATTTAAAAAATTTGGGTTTCGGGTTTAAGGGTTGTCTCATACTTAGAAGCCCTTAGCCTCCCAAAGTGGTTCCACCGCCTGCGCACTTGACATCTGAAGTCCTTAAGGGGGGGCCAAAACTAGGGTTTAGGGTTTAGGGTTTAGGGTTTAAACCCGGAAACACACTTGGGGGAGGCTGGGCGAGCCCCTAGAAGATACCCGCAGTTTCGGAAACCTCTCATGTAAGGGTTTAGGGTTTAGGGCTTAGGGCTTAGGGCTTAGGGCTTAGGGCTTAGGGCTTAGGGCTTAGGTCTTAGGGCTGAGGGCTGAGGGCTTAGGGCTTAGGGGGTTTAGGGTTTAGGGCTTAGGGTTTAGCATGAAGTCTTAAACCCCACATGACGGTCTCATGAAGAGAAGGTTTCAGGATTCATGGCGTCAGAGTCTTTCGGCCTGAAGGTTTGTCGTTTGGGGGTAGGGGGGTTCTGAACAGAAACCCTAAACCCTAAAGAATCCAAGGGCATAATAACTCAACTTAACAAGGCGGCGAGTATAGCAAGGGTGGAGTTCGAGGTCGAGTCTGGGTTCAGGCTTTAGGGTTTATAGGGCGTACCTAAGTGAGCTGTCCTTGCTGATAGCTTCAACTCTCTTGAAACCCCTGAGCCCAAAGCCTTGGAACCCAAACCCTGAATCCCATTTTTGGTTTGCACTTTGGGCGCCTGGGGGGGCAGATCTTCAAGGCTGTAAACCGTAGACCCTAAACCCTGAAAACTAAACTATAAACCCTAAACCCACAGTTTAGGGTTTGCAGGGGCCTGCGGTCGAGTACCGTCTCAGCGCTCTCCGAGGTCGAAATGCAGGACTACCTACACGAGCTGAAGGAGATCTACAATCTGTGCCTCCCCGGATTTTCGTTGGTAGGGGTTGAGGGTTTAGGGTTTGGGGTTTCGGGTTTAGGGTTCAGGGTGTTTTTGTTGGTAGGGGTCTGGGGGACTTCGGGAGTCAGAGCCAGAAGGGCTTTTGGGCTGATAGGCTGCTTGGACGTCAGGATTTCCGACTCGAAGCCCTACACCCAGAAGTGATATCACACTAGTGGGCAGGGAGTCTCCATTCTCGGGTCTGCCGCTCTTGCGTGGGCGAGGGAAGACCATGAGACAGTATACGAGCAGCCAAAGAAGCAGGTCAAGAAGCTTGTGTCGCCCACGAGCAAAGAGGATTGTCACATCCCAGCTGCGCCCTGCGACTACAAACAATAGGCTAAATGGAGCCGAATGCCCTAAATCCTAGAACCCACGTCTTTGCCAACAGAGCAGAGACCCGAATCGACCAAGGCTGAAACCCGAACGCCCTAAACCCTGTAGCATTTCAGCGTGCCCCCCAAACCCTCAACGCCATAAAACCAGAAGCCTCAAAAACCCTACACTTTAAACTTGATATCTCTCCGACCATAAGGGTTGCAGTGCTTCTTTCTTCAACTCCTAAACTGTTTATGCACAATACGGGGCTTCCCACTCTATACGATTTAAGGCGTTTAGTGTTTTTGCTTTTCTTTTTGGGGCGAGCGGTCGTGAAGGTATAGCGTCAGCGGCGATGACGACGAGGCCCTTCAGGGCCTCGATGGGGGGGGGGGGGGGGGGGGGCTCTTTAAAGGAGGTTTGGTGGGCATTTGGGGAGGAGCTTAGTTGCGAAGCTTTAGGACTTATAGCTTGAGGGTTTCGAGTTTGGAGTCGGCAGTTCTGAGCTTAGCGCTCAAGGCAAGGGGCCGGACAACATCCTAAACGCCCCATACACCCTATGCCCTAAACTCTCAACCCTTAAGCCTTACGGGCCCAAAGCCGACTTGGGGTTCGGTGGGGGGGGGGGGGGGGGGGGGGGGGGGGGGGAAAGGGGGTTTGGGCTTCAGGTTCAGGGGTCCCTGAATTCAGGGATCCTGAAAACCCTCTTGACCCCCCAAACCTGACGCCTTAACTGAACCCCCTACAACCCGCAACCTGCTAGAACTACAAACTCGGAGCCCTCCTCAAGAACCCCAAGCCCCCGAAAAAACTCTCGCAACAGCTCAAGAAACCCTCGTAAAACCCAAAACTCCTAGAGCCCTGAAGCCCCTAGAACATCAGCAAGAGCCTATAACTTCCTTGCAAAAACCAAAGCCCCTAACACCCCCTAAAGCCATCTAAAGCCTCGCTTCAGGAAGCCGGCTGGGACGGCATGGGTCCCTCTGCCCGGATCCCCGGCATCCGCTCGTCCGCCTGCTTTTGCAGGTTTTTCTTTGGGTTCACGGCTTAAGGAGCTGAGGGGTCGGGGCAGAGGGATGGTGGAAGGCTCCGTAGACCCTAAACTCTTAAGCTCCTAAACTCCGAAACCCCCAAAACAAAACCGCTTGGGTGCCGGGTGTGGGTTTTCGGGATTATGGAGTGTTGAGGGGTTGGGGTGGGGGGGGGGTTCAGGGCTTCGGGGTTGCAACGTTAGTAGGGTTTTAGGGCTCAGCGTAGAGTCTAGTCTAGGGTTGATGGCGGGGCACGCCTCTAAAATCTGTCAGTACCCGAAAAGTGTAAGGCTGCGTATGATCGTAGGAACCCGAAAAGGGACCATCATTGGAAAACCCTCAACCCTGCACCCCAAACGCGGGACCCACTGCAATTTTCGAACTGATGTCCACGCATGGCCAATGGACCCACGCCTGCACGAGCTGTGTGTAGCCGCCCAAGTCCACCAGTTAGGTCCTAGCCCATCTTCCAGGCCCCTGAACATGTACCTAAAGCAACCCTGAAAACGGACCGGGCACAGCCCCTCTGCCCCGTCGAACGAGGTGGTTCTCCCGCCCTGAAGAGGCCGAGCAAGAGTTTTGGGTTTGGGGCCTAAGCGGTTTAGGGTTGTGCTTGTCCTTTCAATGCTATTTCGTGCAGGCTATGGATGATTGCTCTTTTGGACAATGAACCCTAAGGTCCACCACTAAGCGGTTTCTCGTTCTGTGGTCCCTATACAGAGGTTCAGCGCGTGTCGTCTGTTGCAGGGAGGGGTCCCCCCAGTTGCAACTAGACTTAAAGATGGCCTATCAGTAATTTGGGTAGCACTCTAAATTTAGTCCCTTTTTGGGCCCCCTATATAATGCGGCACCACCCCCCAAAAGGGGACCCTGACTTAGAGAACTACCCAGTTCACACTTGGGTGGCTGTCGAAATTATGATCCCTTTTGGGCTACCCCAAATATTAGGTGCCGTATTATACTAGGGACCCCAAAAAGGACCATAATTTTGACAACCACCCACTTAGGTGATGAGCCTCATCCATAGCCCTGCAGAGTGCAAAGGCTCATGGAGTCGCCATGACCATCACTCTCATCGGTTAGGGGGTAGGGTTTTAGGGTTTGGGGTTTAGGGTTTAGGGTTTAGGGTTTAGGGTTTGGGGTTTAGGGTTTAGGGTTTAGGGTTTAGGGTTTGGGATGAAACCTGCGGTCTAGAGGGCCTCCACTTTGAAGGCTAGGCTGCCTTGAGGTCTTTGGGGCTTTCTTCGGCCGCAAAGGAACCCGGAGTCCCCTAAGCCCTGAGTCTTGCCTAAACCCAAAAATATGTAAAACAATTGCCCTTTTCTGGGTTTTGGCCTATTTTGTTAGTACTTTGGGGATCCAGGTGAGCCTTAAACGCGATGCGAAACCGTCATCGGCTTTCACACCTCAAGCGGTGGATTTCTCCTGGGCCCAGATGCACTGCTAGCAGCAGACGTGTGGCACAATCCTCAGGCTTTCCCCAACCCACGTACGTCAATTCTGACCTGCACCCTAATTAAACCTTAAACACCAAAGAAGCCTGACCTTAGAGTGCTCAGCAGCTTCTGCGCGTACACATCATCGGCCGATCTACATTTACGGGACCTTTTTGTGGTACCCTGACCTACAAGGAATGGACGGCACAACGGAGGTCTTCATGTTCCGAAATCCGAAGGTCTAAATTTTAAACCCGGAACCCGGAACCCTGAACCCTAAGACTAAACTGGAATGCCTAAACTCTGAGGTGCCTTTTGCAGCCAAAGGGCCCCTTAGCACCCTAAAGCCCTAAGCCCTCGGATCTTGTTCTGGGGGGAGAGGCATAGGCGAGGGGAGGGGTGGGCGTCAAAGCACCTGCACCCTGAAGCCTTATACTCCTTAGCCCTAAGCTTTGTGCAGGCTGGCGAACAGCTGCATGAACTCATGAACAGATCGCTTGGAAGGATCAAAAAGCAACAGAGTTCGATGATTTAGGGTCTATGAATTCTAGGACATAAAGTAGTTGAAGGTGTCGCGCCCGTGCTTGCGGAACTACTACTACTGGCAACGGATTCTATAGCCCACAGAGTTCCAAAGCGCCAATCACGAAGCGTTGACTCCTGGACATGCACAGGTGCATGCATTCATGGTGAGAAAGTGACACTCTGTGTGCATCTAGCTACTTGACTTAAGGAGGGCTGGCGGCTCTGTTGGCAGAGAAAGGGGCATGAAGCTGTGTTGCACCATGGTCATTTTGTGCGGTCGCAGGGTTTCGTTCAGATCGGCGTGTTACGGCGTAAGGCAAGACCTGGTGAGGCCTTCAATGTGATACTGGAGATGTTCCAAACTTTCGCGAGTAGTAGGATTCTCTGTGATGTGTGATGTGCGTCAAGGTGTTGTAAGGACTTGTATACTTGTAAACGCATGAAAGCCACCTTAATTACCTTTCTCCTGGCCCACAATGCACCGAACCACAGGAGACTCGACATCCGTATCATCTGTTTACAACTCCGCACCCCATTCAAGCCATGCCCCGAAAGCCGCACCGAAGCACCTTAAAACAAGGGGCTTCCCTTCAGCCAGGTTCAATCAGGTGTGGAACAAGGGCGACTGGACTGCTTCTAGCTTGTCGGGGGGATTGCAGGCCTACAGGCCTAGCAGGCCCCTGCATCTTGATCATCTTGCCTCAAGCCCTTCTAAGCCAACGTCATGGTTGCTCAAGGCGTCCAGCGGGCCCTGCCAAGCCGAAAGTTAGAGCCGGATGTGCCGCTGGGCCGCGCTATGGCTTTGTTCCATGGCCGCGTCGGCCGTCAATGACGACGGTCGACTCTACGGAGAGCTCATCTCGGCGGTGAATCGCACTGATGCAGACGCTATTCAAAGGCTTCTTGCCAACAAGACTGACGCAGTGCAGCTCCTTCTCAGGAGCAGTGTCAATGCATGGTTCGACGGCGTTCCTGCACCTGGTGAAGGCAGGTTTTCACAAAAGACACCTTTGACGAGCCACGATCATGATCGCAGGATTTTCGCATAACTTGTTACGGGCCTGAAACAGCATCATCAGAGGGTCAGGTTTAGACAAAGAATTCCTTTCAGCGAGCCGTCGCCGTCAATTCGCACCATGAGAGGGGCGGGTTTGACCATAAAGGATCGCCTTTCCCTTGTTGCGGCCATGGCGGCCAGTACATCACATTATGAGAGATGTGGGTTTTAACATAAGATCTAGGGCTTCATGTTGCGGCCATGTCACAATCATAACCCTATAACAATCGCATCACGAGAGGGGTGAGCTTTAACATAAGCGTCCACTGTCCTTGTTAAGTTCATCGCGGGAGGGAGCCTGCTTCACTTTGCGGCCTTCCGGGGCGACGTGGATGTCATGCGGCTGCTCCTGGATGCCTGGCCAGCAGGCCTGCAGCAAAGGAATTATCGCGGCCAGGCGCTGTTGCACCACGCATGCTGGAACGGCAGCATGGAGCTCTCGCAGTGGTTACTCCTACAATGGCCCCAAGGCCTGAAGGTTGCCGACGACTGGGGCAGGACGGTTTGGCACCATGGAGCGCGTAGTGGCAACGTGGAGCTTTTGCAGTGGTTGCACACGCAATGGCCCGGAGGCTTGAAGATTGCCGACGCTGACTACACGGCTTGGCACTACGGAGCGAGGAGTGGCCACGTTGAGGTCTTGCAGTGGTTGTACATCCAATGGCCCGAAGGCCTGAAGGTTGCCGACATCACGGGCAAGACGGCTTGGCACGATGGAGCGTGGAGTGGCAACAAAGAGGTCTTGCAGTGGTTGCACATCCAATGGCCCGAAGGCCTGAAGGTTGCCGACGAAGACGGCCAGACGGCTTGGCACTATGGAGCGAGGAGCGGCAACGTGGAGGTCTTACAGTGGTTGCTCATCCAATGGCCAGAAGGCCTGAAGGTTGCCGACACCAGGGGCAGGACGGTTTGGTATCATATAGCGCGTAGTGGCAACGTGGAGCTTTTGCAGTGGTTGCACATCCAATGGCCCGAACGCCTGAAGGTGAATGCCGGCTTGGCGACGGCCTGGCACCATGGAGCATGGAGTGGCAACAAAGAGGTCTTGCAGTGGTTGCACATCCAATGGCCGGAAGGCCTGAAGGTTGCCGACAACTGGGGCCAGACGGTTTGGCACTATGGAGCAAGGAGCGGCCACGTGGAGGTCTTACAGTGGTTGCACATCCAATGGCCTGAAGGCCTGAAGGTTGCCGACATCACGGGCAAGACGGCTTGGCACGATGGAGCGTGGAGTGGCAACAAAGAGGTCTTGCAGTGGTTGCACATCCAATGGCCGGAAGGCCTGAAGGTTGCCACCTACTCGGGCCAGACGGTTTGGCACTATGGAGCGAGGAGTGGCCACGCAGAGGTCCTGCAGTGGTTGCACATCCAATGGCCTGAAGGCCTGAAGGTTGCCGACAACAGCGGCGAGATGCCGTTGAACTATGTAGACTTCTGGGGCAAGGTGGAATTCTTGCAGTGGTTGCTCACCCAGCCCGAAGGGCTCATCAGGTATGTCGACAACTGGCACCAGACGGTTTGGCACTACGGAGCGAGGAGTGGCCACGTTGAGGTCTTGCAGTGGTTGTACATGCATTGGGCCGAAGGCCTGACCGCCTACTCGGACATGACGGCTTGGCACTACGGAGCGTGGAGCGGCAACGTGGAGGTGTTGCAGTGGTTGCACATCCAATGGCCCGAAGGCCTGAAGGTTGCCGACACCGGGGGCCAGACGGCTTGGCACTACGGAGCCAGGAGCGGCGACGCGGAGGTCTTACAGTGGTTGCACATCCAATGGCCCGAAGGCCTGAAGGTTGCCGACACCTGGGGCCAGACGGTGTGGCACCATGGAGCAGCGAGGGGTGGCCACGTCCTGGTCCTGCAGTGGTTGCACGTCCAATGGCCCGAAGGCCTGAAGGATGTCGATGCCTTTGGCGACACGGCGTGGCGCCTTGGAGCGGCTGAGAGCAACAAGGAGCCCCTGCAGTGGTTGGTCAGTCTTTGGCCCGAGGGCCTGGAGGTTGCCCATGATGCTCTCCCACATTTCTTGCGGGAGCAGCGGCCCGAAGCGCTGGAGATTCTGGAGTGCAAGATCCTCGTTCCTTTTGTCTGCGGAACGTCAACGATCGACCAATCCTGGAGGAGTGCCATGGCCGAACTTCAATGCGCGAGTCCGGAACTGCTCTCCCAGTCTGACCTGCAGGCGTGGCTTGAGGGCTGCGGAGGCCGCCCCAGCTGGAGTGACGACTTCGGCACCCTCGCGGCGCGGCTTCGTGATGCCGAAGCGAAGGACGGTCAAACATGTTTGGTTGCCGTTGCTCGGAAATTTCTCTAATTCCCCTGCAAGATCCGCCAAGTCAGTCTCGTAGGCATGCTTGTGCTCACAGCAGAGTAGCAGTCGCTGACTTTTCTGTGAAGGCATTCTTGGAACCTCTGATCGGGCTGGACGGCTTGATCGTGACCACGCTTCAAGACTGGGCAGCATGGGCTTGTGTCGTTTCAGCTGCAAGCGCAGCACTTGCAGCCGTGTGTCTTGAGGCTAGACTGACGAAGCCGAGGGGAACGGGAGTGCAATCGTATCAGGCGTCATCGGAGGGCGTGGGCGATGACTTCCGTGAGGGTGCCACACGATGTGTATGCCAAGCTTTGTCACCACCTGCTAGGTTCACAAGGGCTTGGCGGTGGCTAGAAGTTTTGGTCGCCACATTCTGGCTGGGCCCTGCGATGTTAGTGACGCACTGGGCGTGGTGGCTACCAATCGTCCTCGTTTTCTACGCAGTCCCTGCATTCATATTCACAACAGCAAACAAGCTGCGGCTCAAGCTCGAAGACGCAGACTCGCCAATCAAGTTCACAGCAGCAAAAAAGCTGCGACTCAAGCTCGAAACGTTGCTGAAGTCCCCGGTGCTGGTCATCATGACTCCAACGACGAAGGGCCCCGTGCCGCAGGCGAGATGGCTTTCAGAACTTATTTTTGTACTGAGACGGTCTCGATCAGACAATTTGTTCTGTCTGGAATCTAGATGCCAAAGCAAGTCTTGTCTCTTTGTCTGCCGATTCAAGCGACACTGTTACTCAAGCTAGAAACCCGAACCATAACAGGAGCGCGCAACCATGGACGCCTTGAGAATGCACTCAGGCCTGTCAAGGTGAGCAGTTACACCCTGGATCCCAAGTTTAGCGTGGGCCCTGACAATTCAGAAGGAGTGGGAACCTCCAAATGCAACACGGCAATATGCCCTCAACTCTGGAAGGAGTGTGGCCGTTGAGAAGCCACCCCACGGAGCTGAGAGAACACAACCACATGAAAAAAGGCCTTGAAAGGCATGTGGCTGCAAGATGCCGCAAACGATTGATTTTCGCTTGGTTGCAGGCGATGCATTTGACTCATGGGCACACAAGTGATAAATCAGGTGTTTGTTTTTTCCCGGCTCGGAAACACACAAAAGCAACATGGTAAGGGGCTGCACTACGAAGAAAAGCTGGTCGATGTCCGAAGCCATCTGTGACTTACGCAGCATAGCGAAGCAAGAAGCAGCGGTTCAACATGACAGGTTTCTGTCAGCGACAGGCGGACCAAGCATGGCAACTTTCACAACATTTGCAAACATGCTGAAGCCGATTTGGCGCCCAGATTGGCACCCAGGGTGGTCAGCCTGGAGCATTTGAATAAGTTCGGCTGAAAGTCCACGGAGCTACGTGCAAACTTTGCAAAGCTAACCGAAAGCACACAAGCTGAAGTTTCCGATGTGCAGACGGGCTGAAGGCTTCTGTGGGCTCGCGCTTCTGGTTAACGGCTATCGTTACGGGTGGGTTTCGAGTGTCGTTGTCAGGGCCTCAAGATGTTAAGAGGGCATCTGCTCGTTCAGGTAGCTGGCCTCTGTCGCACCATGGCCCTATCCGGGGTTTGGTTCGCGATCGCGCACAATGCCAGCCAACTGCCGCTCCCAATTGTCAACCCCGACTTCCAGGACTTTGAGAGCAAAAAATACGCTGCGTGGAGGTATAGCCATCTTCACCATCACTGGATGTTTCCATGGGCCTCGAAAACAATCACTGCCGCCAACATTTTCGACGTGGCGACAACGTTATGCCCAGCTGTCATCATCCTGTACTCCGTGTGTCTTTTCTGTGCATCTCTACAGCACTTGGTTCCCTTGTCTGCGGTGCAACGCTTGCCCGCGTGGCTCAAGGTGAACAAGGCCAACAGACACGAACGACAGAAGTTGAGGGACAGGCTTCTGAAGGAGAAGACGTTGCCAGATGAAGTGGATGGCAGACTCAAGCCCGTCGTTCTTCTTCGCCCCCCTCCCTGGGAAGGAAGAGCGCTGTTGCCAGCTATGGCGTTGCTGGTTCTGGACGTAGGCCTAGACTTCAAGACGCTCTTGGACTTCCTGGTGGCACGGCACTACCTGTTCGCCGCAGTCATGACCTTCATCGTGATCCGCAGCACCCTGAAACAATTCACCATCCTCGCCCCTTGGAAGCTCCGGCAGGCCTCCTTGCTGCATTTGTTGGAAGCTCATTCTGTGCTTATGATGTCTACCAGTTTTGAGTACTTAAATAGTACGAAACTGCACCCCAACTCGAGCTCACCATCAAGCCATCAAAGTTCAACCCTGGCTCTCCGCCCTTCCAAACGTCTTTGCAAAATTCGCACGTGCGCAGGCGATAAAGGCCAGCCGGGCACGAGGCCTGCTGCGGGAGGATCTCTTGCACTTCCTGGATGCAGCTTGGCACCGTCTGGAGATCTCTATAGGTCTCTCTAGGATGTGCGGTCCCCTTGCTTGCAGAGCCTGAATCGACGTCACAACCCATTGAGCTTGATGAAGCTCAGGAAGAGAGACGCTCCGAAGCTTTCTTCTGCGGGTGCATCACTGCCTACGCCATCTTGTATGCAGCCCAGACAGCCGGCCAGCTGATCATACAACTCTGCAGCCTCCTGCTCAGCACATGGCTATTTTCAGGTTCGGCCTGTCAAACAAAAGAGATAAAATGCGTGCAGCATCCCCTAAAGCCCTAAGCATAGTCCTCACCTCAAATCCTAAACTGCTCGGGCCTCGGGCTGTTCATTCAGTCGCATGTGGCATGGCAGGCTATGCCGTCCGTTTATGCGACATGGATATGGAGGGGCTCGAGGATGGTGACGAGCTCGACAGCGCGGTGCCTGCGGACCTTGAAGCTCAACCTTGCAAGGATGAGGACCCTGTGACTGTTGTTTGTTTGGAAACTGTTTTGTTGAACTTTGTTGTTTACAAGACAAGTGTACGACCCACGGCTTCAGCAAAATGCCCAAGATGTTTTTCAACCTGGGGTGTCGTGCAGCAAGACAAAAGCTTTCAAACAGAAGCTCCCTGCAACAACTTTTAACCCTAAACCCTAAACCCTAAACCCTAAACCCTAAACCCTAAACCCGAGGCTGCCAACGATGAGCCGAAGGGTCCTGATCATGCAGCCGTGGATCCGCAGGAGCCAGATGTGGGCAGTTCGACCCTGGAGAAGGCCCTCGGGCTCACAGCCAAAGCCGACATAAGAAGGGTTTAGGGTTTAGGATTTAGGGTTTAGGGTTTGGGGTTTAGGATTTAGGATTTAGGATTTAGGGTTTAGGGTTTAGGGTTTAGGTTTTAGGGTTTAGGGTTTAGCGTTTAGGGTTCGGGTTCAGGATGTTCATTGCCTTGCGATGTAGCGTCTAAGACGAAATCTGGGAGGCGCCGAGGATCGGGTGAAGTCTTGTTTAGCGGACGCGGCATTTTTCTTTCAGAGATTGGATTGTTCTTGCCGTTGTTGCCAGGGTAACTCCTGTGTTTGTGATTGTTACTGATTGTTGCGTGATTGTCGCGAGCCAGGAACCCCCACTCAGAGGTGTCTTCAAACTCCAAAAGCCCCAAGTTGAAGCCCAAGGAAGCTTCTTGGACCCTCAACCCTGAACCCAAACGCCTAGAACAGCGAAACATCCTCGGCGTTGGAGGAGCTCTTCGATATTCCTGGCGCCATGCCAGACCCAGCGGGGGCCTCAAGACTAGGTGCTTCAGCCATTTTAGCTAAAGTGTATAGATTTGGAGATTGTCACCCAGGAGGGCTGCGAGCAAAGCACACAACGACCCTTTTGGAATAGCTACTGCATGCTGTGAGAAGCAGCAAGGCGGTGGTCTTGAGATAGAAACGGCGTGTCGGGGTGCTGCAAGCATTACAGGGTGGTGCCCCTAGGGTGCTACAGTGTCTTCAGACTTCAAAAAGCCCCAAGCTGAAGCGCATCGAAGGCACTAGCCGTCTTGTTTTCGAATCAGGAGGAATTGGACCCTCAACCCTGAGCTCGAACTCCTGCTGGCCTCGGAGGAGCTCTCCGACTTGCCGAAGGCATCCGAGGCTCAGAAGGCTCCTGATCCAGGCGACCCCGTAGCCGCGGATCAGGAAGAGCCGAGCAAGCCACATCCGACCCTGGAGGCCGATAGAAGGGGTCAGGGTCTAGGTTCAGGACGAATTATTCAGGATGAAATCTGGCAGGCGCCGAGGATCGGGTGAAGTCTTGTTTAGCGGACGCGTTTTTTTTCAGAGATGGGATGGTTCTTGCCGTTGTTGCCAGGGCAACTCCTGTTTCCGCGATTGTTGCGTGATTGTTGCGAACCCTGAACCCCCGGTCAGCGGTGTCTTTAGACTTCAAACGCCCCAAGATGAAGCGCATCGAAGCCCCTGTGGCCGCTCGTTTGCGAAGCAGAAGAATTGGACCCCAAACTTTGAACTCGAACTTCAGGCGGCCTCGCAGGAGCTCTCCGACATGCCGAAGGCATCCGAGGCTCGGAAGGTTCCTGATCCAGGCGACGCCGTAGCCGCGGAGCAGGAAGAGCCGAGCAAGCTTTCTGCGACCCTGGAGGCCGAAAGAAGGGTTTAGGGTTTAGTGTTTAGGGTTTAGGTTCAGGTTGAAGGTCGAGGATCCGGTTCAGCCCTGTTTAGCAGACGAGTTTTCTTTTCTTGAGAGATGGGAGGGTGCTTGCCATTGCTGCCAGGGCAGCTCTTGTTACTGATCGTTGCATGATTGTTGTGAAGCCAGAACCAGTCAGAGGGGTCTTCAGACTTCAGAAGCCCCAAGCTGAAGACCATCGGAGCCCCCTAGCCGTTTCGCTTTCAAATCAAGATCTCTTCGACCGTAAAGCTCACAGTGATCTATATAGGTGCTTCAGCCATGTTCGCTAAAGCGGAGGTTTGGAGATTGTCACCCTAAACCCTAACCCCTAAACCCTAAACCCTAATCCGAAACCCCGGGGGAGCTGAGAGCAAAGCACACAGCGACCTTTTGGAATAGCTGCTGCATGCTGTGCGAAGCAGCAAGCCAATCATCTCAAGATAGAAGCAACCTAGTGTGCTACTGTAGGGGTGTCATTTGCTAGCGCGCGAGAATTTCTTCCACGCCCATCGAAGCCCTCGTTGTCTGGTTTTGTTTGAATCAGGAGCTTTGGCTTAAACCCTGCACCCGAACTCCTGGAACACCGAAACATCCTCGGCCTTGGAGGAGTGGAGGAGTTTTTCGATGCCAGTCAGCCCAATGTCGTCCGAGAGGCCTGGTGGAACAAACGCCTGCGTGCATACCTATGTATGTGTATATATTTAGGTAGATGGCTAGATACACCTACAGAATCGCCTTGCTGTGAAGCTGCTTGCTTGCCAAGGATGGCTGACCCATTTCAGCATCGCTCGAAGCTCGGTGTTACACGAAGTCACGCGCCATGTCATAAGACAGCGAGGTGAGCTTGACTCCTGCTCAGTGCGGGACTTGCCGACGCTTTTCATTCGGGATGCGCTTAGGGGGAGTAATTAACCCTCCTCATGCACCACTATCCCAACCATTATCATGGGGTCGCCATTTGGGCGTCCCACAGTCAAGCACTATTTCCGACAATGTGCTGACACGTTTTCCTGCATCTGCAAGTATTGCTATGCCCTCCATGGCTCAACGCCGTGTGCACGACCGGCAACATGCCCACCCCCAAGAAAAGTCGAGCCTTCGCAGGGTTTTGGGGTTTGGGTTTCGGGGTTTGGGGGTTTCTTTGGGTTGCGTCAATTCCGTTGTCTTAAGTATAGTCGTGCACGAGAGGCTTCTACTCTGGAAAATGCCACTGAGCTCGACCAGGCTGCTGGCCACGGCGACGTTATAGTGAGACTCATCTCGAGTTCAATCCGGCCATGCGCTAATTCAACTGGTCATACATCAAAATATGCATATACATATATATATATATGTGTGTATATATGTATATGTGTATCTCTCGTTCTTTCTGTTTTTCTCCGGGATTTTTGCAACTCAGGTCCAGCTGCCTGTCCCTGAATGGTCTTGTCTTGTCTTCATTGTCATATCGCTGTACGAACGCCTCTTTGAAGGGTGATTGAGATGTGCTATAATTTCGCCTAACACAAGAGATTCTACAATTGCTTCTCCTCGCGCTCTAATCTTCCCGAAATTTCAAAGATGATCGGTTCACATCCGAAATTCAAGGCATTTCTGCGCTTACCAAGAGCTCGCAATCGAATGTGTGTACGTGGAAGCTGTTGCTTGAAAGACCCACAACTCTGACGAGAGAATCGGCGGATGAAAAGTGGAATAGTGTCTCCACATGTAAAAATCCATGCAGTCATGCTCGCATATCGAGCTGCATATTTTCGAAATAATCAAGCATCGGGTGTTTCTCATCCAGTCCCATACGACACAATGTGTAAGCTCCAATATATATATATATATATATATATATATATATATTGTTACCCTAAGCGCACAGCGAAACTTCTTTGAACTCTTCAAAAGTGAGCAATCCCATCCCAATCTGAGAAAAACACACACACACACAAAACAAACGTATGTATATACATATATACATATATATATATATATGATATATATATATATATACATATACACATATGTATAGCTTCTACGAGCTTGATGGTTCCGGCTTCAAGGTTTAACCGTAACTCCCGACAAAAACTCGAGATCTTTGCCTGACATGGGCATAGTCTGTAGACTACGCAGCCCCAAATGAAACCTATTGGCGCCTTGATGGGGCCTATCAATTCCGCAAGCTCTCATCCCACAAGCCATCAACCTTCAAACTAGACCCTCAGTCTCGCGTCATCTGTTTGTTCCGCTTGGCTCGCTGTCCAAGCCCCGATCGTGGTGTGCTAATTCATATAGTGCTTCCAGCCCCGGGATAGGGCTTAACGGGTTTGGGGGCCCAAAACCTTAGGCTAAACCCTTAGGATTTGGGGTTTCGAGAAATCCTGGAATTGTGTACGTACAGAAAGGTGTGCCTAGTACAGGCCCTGACTAAGCCCGAAATCCTAAACCCTAAGACCCCAAACCCCCCAAACCCCCCTAAACCCGAGACCCGAAAATCACCAGACCTTCAAAGGGCCCAGAGCCCGGGGGCGGGAAGCGTCCATTCTAGCGGGAGCGCGGATGGCCGGCCCTGATCACCATGGCAAGCAACTCTGAAGGCAGGCTTAAGAATTAGGGCTTAGGGTTTAGGGTTTAGGGCTTAGGGCTTGAGGGCTTAGGGTTTAGGGCTTAGGGCTTGGGGTTTAGGGTTTCGGGTTTAGGCCTTACGGCGTAGGGCTTAGAGCTTAGGGCTTAGGGTTTTGGGTTTAGGGTTTAGGGAATAAGGTAGGGTTCGGAAATTAGGATGTGGGGCTTCGGGTTGTAGGCATAAGGCTTCAGGAAGAAGAGCTCATTGTATCAATTGCGCACACAAAGCCCCAAGATCTTGCACCCCCAGCCCGAACGAAACCCATTGCAAGCGGCCCTTAAACCCTAAACCCTAAACCCTAAACCCTAAACCCTAAACCCTAAACCCTCAACGGCGTGAAAGGTTGCAGTGTAGGACCTGACTCCTAGAGTTGCATGTGGGACTATTTGGTTTTTCGGTCTCCAATATACAGACCCCTGTGGCTATCAAAGTAGCTACTATAGGATCCATTTACGGGGTGGGGTATCCAGGCTATTCAGCCTGCGAGTTCTGAGAATTAGCATAGAAAATGGCCTATGATGGTTTCAGGAGTTTAGAGGGGGGTCCTTCGGCTGGGATCTCTTTCGGACTTGAATAGGGGGTACTTAAGACAGATCTCTTTCGGACTTGAATAGGGGGTACTTAAGACAGGAGGTAGCATAGGACCCCAGTATGCAACAAACTCAACTACTGCTTCATGGGTTGTAGCTATTTCGAGTTTAGTTCCTACGGTTTAGGGTTTAGGGTTTAGGGTTTCGGGTTCAGGGTTTAGGGTTTAGGGTTTAGGGTTTAGGGTTTAGGGTTTAGGGTTTAGGGTTTAGGGTTTAGGGTTTAGGGTTTGGGACTTAGCGGCTTAGGGTGCCTGCCAGGACTTGCTTGCGGAACAATGCGGCGTCGGCACATTGGGCACGGGGCTTGGGCGACACAGTCTTGGAGTGATCCTGCAGGTTCAACACTGCTAGAGCTCGAGGGCTTCTGATTTCAATTCCTGAACTTTAAAACCCAATGTCCGATGCAATCTTTTATAAGCCCCACAAACCCTGTAAAGCCTTGTTCCTTTTCACCCGAAGCCCAAATCTTGGAGTCATTTCGGGGGTTGAGGCCCAAAGTTGAGGGAGTGGTTGCGGGGAAACCCTGAACCCTAAACCCTAAACCCTAAACCCCAAACCCGGAGCCTTGAGCTCCAAAAGACCTTGGAATCTAATCCCTCCAGCCCCAAGAGGCCGGAGTCCTCGGGCCCGGACCGCAAACTCGTACAGCCTTGCAGCCCCACCTAGGGGCCTGCTTAGGGTTTAGGGTTGATAGGGTTGAGGGTTGAGGATGTAGGGGGAGGTTTAAGGCTTGACAGGAGTATCGTTAAAGGTTCAGGGGTAGGTAGAAGTATAGGGTTATTCGTACTTCCAATGAAGTGTAGGTTTTCTTACGTGACTTCTAAGCCACAGATCTAGCCAGCCACCCGTGAGCCTTGCATGCAGTTAGGTTCAGAAGTTTGCTGGGCTTTTAGGGCTTAGGGTTTGGGGTTGACTAGTCGACCAGACATGCCGGGACAGCGTGACCTAGAGGCCCTGCAATTTGTCGCGGATCCTTGCAGTTCACGATGTTGTTGCGTAGTCAATGTCATCTTCGTTGCGAAGACAGGTACAGGCAACAGGTAGTTTTCCTAAATCAGGGTCCTTTTTTGGCTACCGATCATAAGGCGGCACCCTTTGGATCCCAAAAAGGGACCCTAATTTGGAGAACTACCCAAGAGGATACCCTCAACCCTAAACCCTAAACCCTGAACCCTGAACCCTGAACCCTGAACCCTAAACCCCAAGCCCTAAACCCTAAACCCTAAACCTAAACCCTAAACCCTAACCCCTCCCCAAGCCCTAAACCCTAAACCCTAGTGCGGACGGAGCCCCTTCAGGTTGTTGCTGTGTGCTGGCGCTTGGCTGCTCGAAGCACGAGATGCCCAGGACGTCCTGACACCCCATCTCTCCCCCCCCCCCCCCCCCCCCCCCCCCCCAAAAAAAAAAAAAACCATAACCAAAAAACGCAAAACACTTCCGCACACAGATATATATATATATACACACACATACACACATATATTTGTATCCGTATGCATATGTGTATATGTACGAATGTGTATAAAGCTAAACCCACATGCACCTGAACCCTAGAAGATGCCCCCAACTCCTAGCACCCCCCCCCCCCCCCCCCGGCAAAAAAAGAAACTAAGAACCCTCCTTGGTGTGAGTGTGCGGCCAGGATCATGCCGAGCACGTCCTCGAGCCCGAAGAGCGCGGCGAAAGGCTCTCAAAGGGTTTTGGTCTCATTGTTTCGGGGGTTAGGGTTTAGGGTTTATAAGGCTTAAGGGTACAGGGTTTAGGGTTTTAGGACTAAGCGACGAAGGGTTTGGATTTAGGGTGTGCGTACCTGCCCAGGTAAGCAAAAGCCGTTGAAACTCAGTGGCGCCATCGGAAGCGGAACTCCAAAGTCCGGATTTTTTTCAGGGAAACCACGAAGTCCTGAACCTGAGCCCACATCCTCCTCGAGCCCAAGCAAGGGCCTAAAACCCGAACCCTGAACCCAGACCCTAAACCCGGTGAAGCCTGAACCCCAAACACCAAACCCTAAAGCCCCTGAACTCTAAACCCAAGCCCCTGTGAAGCCTGGCCCCCAAGCCCCAAGCCCTAAACAACCTTGCCTGCATGCAGGCGGCTGTCTCACATGAGCCGGGATGCCGACCTGGCAACCGAGATAGGGAAGCAGGGCATTATGCGCGCCTCAGCACGGTTTCTCTCGAGCTCGGGGGATGGCGGGCTTAGGGTTTACAGATCTTTAACCTTCGTTTTCTTCGGGTAGTTTCATGGACCCTTAATATGGTCCCTAACCTCCTTTACAGGGTTCTGATGTATGCGCCCTTTATTGTTTAGGGTACCCTTGCAAGGGCCTATACTACCCTTAGAGCGTTGGCAGTCATAAGTAGCACCCACCCCTCTTATCAACCCCTGCACAGAGAATCAGGAGGAGTACACAGACTTCGTACAGCTTTGTGGGATGCTTGTTGCTACGCTTCGGTATGTGGCACGTGCATGCTCAGCCCATATTTTTCACGATGCTATCAAACACTCTTGCCTGCAATGGCCCTGAATCTACAACGATGCCCAAAAAAAGCCTTAGCTTAGTAGCTGAAGGAGACTGAATGATTACGCTTTACACTTTCTGTAGAACTGAAAGTGTACACTTTTTGCCTCAACCTCGCCTTCCCAGGTCGGGAGATTTTAGCCGGCACGTCCCTCGACAACTTGACTCTCTGGCAGAGCTGCCGGGATGTCGCGCTGGCTGACTGCTGCCGCTTGGGGCGGCTGCGCGTGAATGATGGCCAGGCCGGATGGTTGTGTGTTTAGGGTCTAGGGTTTAGGGTCTAGGGTTCAGGGTTCAGGGTTCAGGGTGCAGGGTTCAGGGTTCAGGGTTCAGGGTTCAGGGTTCAGGGTTGGTTTGGGTGTTCAGGGTGTAGGATTTAACAGATAGATTGGGATTGATTCACCTTGGCGTACTGAAAGGTCGCACCAAAGCCTACAGTACATCCCAACCCCCAAACACCCTGAAACCCTAAAACCTGAAGTCGCAAACCCAGGTTCAAAGCCCTAAAGCGCGAAACCCTGAAGCCCCTGACCCTTAATAAGACCTGAACCTCGAAAGCCCCTACCGCCTCACCCTAAACCCTAAACCCTAAAGGGCAGCTGCCGCTGCGCCAACTCTTCCACTGCTGGGGGCGAAAAGCGCCTGGCGGCGATCTGCTCCCTGCGGTGGCAGGTCTGCAGCGTCCTCCAGAAGGCCTGGGGTTTGGGGTTTACAGTAGGGTTTGTAGGGTTGAGGGTGTAGGGTTCAGGGTTTAAGGGCCTAGGGGCTTAGGGGCTTAGGGGCTTCGGGGCTTCGGGGCTTAGGGGCTTAGGGGCTTAGGGCCGTCTAGGGTTTAGGAGCATCGGGGCAGGGTTGAGGGCCTAAGGTTTGGGTCGCTGTGATGTCCACACTCCAGAAACCGGCAAACCCTCTTGGGGGTTTAGGGTTGTTTAGGGCTTTAGGGTTTAGGGTTTAGGGCTTTAGGGTTTGGGATTTAGGGTCCAGGGCTTAGGGTTACTTGGTTTTTTAGGGTTTAGGACTTAGGGTTTAACCCCAAACTGCAGTATGAACTCACAAGCCCTCGGGCCTAGAGCATGAACCCCGAACCTTTAGCCCTCGGCCCCTACGCCATAACAAGCCCTGAGCCCAACAAAAACCTAGACCATCAACAAGCTCAAAAACCCTCGCGCCCAAAATTTGAAACCCTAAACCCTAAACCGAAACCCGAAACCCGAAACCCTAAACCCTAAACCCTAAACCCTAAACCCTAAACCCTAAACCCTAAACCCTAAACCCTAAACCCTAAACCCTAAACCCTAAACCCTAAACCCTAAACCCTAAACCCTAAACCCTAAACCCCTAAACCCTAAACCCTAAACCCTAAACCCTAAACCCTAAACCCTAAACCCTAAACCCTAAACCCTAAACCCTAAACCCTAAACCCTAAACCCTAAACCCTAAACCCTAAACCCTAAACCCTAAACCCCAACCCCAAAGCTCCGAAACCCGAAACCTTCAGCCCTGGTCCTTGAGCCCAGAGAAGATAGGTTTAGGCTTTAGGCTTTAGGCTTTAGGCTTTAGGCTTTAGGCTTTAGGCTTTAGGCTTTAGGCTTTAGGCTTTAGGCTTTAGGCTTTAGGCTTTAGGCTTTAGGCTTTAGGCTTTAGGCTTTAGGCTTTAGGCTTTAGGCTTCAGGCTTGAGGCTTGAGGCTTTAGGCTTTAGGCTTGAGGCTTTAGGCTTTAGGCTTTAGGCTTTAGGCTTTAGGCTTTAGGCTTTAGGCTTTAGGGTTTAGGGTTTAGCGTTTAGGGTTTAGGGTTTTAGGGTTTTAGGGTTTAGGGTTCAGGGTGGTTCGGCAGGAGTCCTGCTGCAGCACCACGCCCGCCTCGCTGCTCGTGGCCTTCGGGTTCCCCGGACTCGCAATTACAGCGTTTGGGGGTTTAGGGTTTAGGGTTTAGGGTTTAGGGTTTAGGGTTTAGGGTTTAGGGTTTAGGGTTTAGGGTGTAATGTTTAGGGTTTGGGGGGTGTTACGGTTAAGGCTTTAGGGTGCATTCCCCGAATCCAGCGCTCCACCCCGTGACCAGGAATTCCTCCGCCTCGGGTTTTGCCAGCCACTGCGCCTGCGCCAATGCAACCTTTGCCGGGCTCACACAAGAGGCGGTGGAAGGACGATGTGCCAGAGAGCTGAAGGCGGGGTTTGGTTGGGGCTTTGGGTTTGCGAGGTGTTTTGAAGTCTGGGTGCTCCCCCCCCCCCCCCCCGCTGAAGCGGTGGACATTCAAAACTTGATCCGTTTTCGGGGGGGAGTCCGGAACGCCAAAACTTAATGCTGGTATCAGGCGGAGATAAAGAGCCTGTCTTGAAATCGGGGCCGGGTGTACCAGGTTACCGAAGAATCTTAAGAGGAGTTCTATTCGACGAAGAACATTTCAAAACCCTACACCCTAAACTGTAAATCCCGAACGGTAGGGTTCACGATTGGTGTTTGGGGGGGTCTGGGCTTCGAGGCGCCCAGCATGAAAGTCTTCTGTGTGTTGAGGCTTAGGATTTCGAGGGTTTAGGGCTTAGGGCTTAGACACCTGCACCCTAAGCCCTAAGCCCTAAACCCTAAACCCAAAACCCTAAACCCTAAACCCTAAACCCTAAACCCTAAACCCTAAACCCTAAACCTTCAGCCCTGAACCGCATGAGAGCACCTGTCAGGGCACCTGCAGCGGGACCAGCTTGTTCTTCAAGCCGCTGGCCGCTTGGGAAGAGCACAAGCCTCCCACACCCTGAACTAGAGCTTGAGAAACCCACGAAAGGGCCCGAAAACCCCTTAAGTAAGCTAGAGAGCCCCTAAGCTCTGAAGGCAAGCTGGTTTAGGGTTTAGGGTTGAGGGTTTCTCAAGGCAAGCGATCAGCCCTCCCAGAAAGCAAGCTGAGCTAAAGCGGCAACTGCTCTGAGGACACGCGTGTCGCTCATCTTGAATTCCTAGACCTTTTGTGGGAGCAATTAGATCCCTAAACCCTCCACTCTAAACCCTGAACCTTAAACCCTAAACCCTAACCCCTAAACCCTAAGTGATTTGGTGGCTTTAGAGTTTGAGGTTGAGGTTTAGAATTTGGGGCTTACGGCTGAGTTGAGGCGAACGTGTCCGCGCGAATCGGACACAAGCACTTCCATAACGTGCCTCGGCGCAATTCGTCCACTCTACGAACTGCCCATAGTGCCCAAATCCCCAAACCCTAATTGCTTTGGCACACATGTGGGGGTCGAAAGCCCAGTTGGGTGTCCAGGGCATCCCCTTAGCTGCTTACCCCGAACCCTCCACCTTACCATCTGACACACTGAACATCACTGAACATTGCTAGGGGTTTACGGTTAAGAAGGTGGGGGGGGGGGGGCTTCGGGATTTAGGCCGAATTTAGGGGTTTGGTGCAGCAACCGCTTTGATGATGGGCCTCTTGAACTACTGCGACGTTCAACTATAGCTTGGGGTACTGGTACAACAGTGGGCCTTCAGTGCTCATCGGCCGCCTACATCTATGACTTTACAGGGTTTTGGGGCTCATATGGCCTAAGGGTCCATGTACCCATCTAGTATATACTTGGGCCTTAAAGCTGTTCCCAAATAGTAGTTTTTGGGCCCAAGTATGCACTGAATATGGGCAGCATGGACCCTTATCAGGAGGGCTACTTGGAGGTTCATAACTGTACTTAGAACCCTACTTATAATTGGGACAACCCCTATGAGGCCCTTTAGTTATAATTGGCTAGTAAGTACCATGAACCTCCAAGTATCCTCCCCGAGGATGGTGGCACCCACTTCTGGTCTTTCGCCAGCGGGGGCTGTCCGAGTGCGGCCTCGCTACATTTCACGCCGCCGGTCCGTGAGGGGCGGGACTACGTGCTGCGCGTGGAGGCGTGGAGTAGAAGGAAAATGGGGGTTTAGGGTTTAGGGTTAAGGTTCAGCTTAAGCCCAACACCCAAACCGGTTTAGGATAGGGGGTTCAACTTTTCGTGGCCTGCTTCACTCCCTGCTGGGAACCATGTGACAATCGCTAGGCGCCATTCCTACGTCCTACGTCCATTGCTAGTCACTAGCCGCCCTCCTTGGGGATTTCTCTGAATTGTGGGCCCTTGCAGAGCCTTATCCCTAAACCCTAAACCCTAAAGCAACCCTAAACCCCCTAAACCCTAAACCCTAAGCCCTTAACCAGGCTCGGCCGTCTTTGCAGCCAGAAAGCACCAAAGCTGCGCCCGCGCTGCGCTTGACGAGCCTCGTCCCTGCGAATATCGGAGTTGGTTGTTTCAGGTTTATAAACCCTAAACCCTTAACCCTTTACCCTTTACCCTTTAAACCCTAAACCCTTTAAACCCTAAACCCTATAAACCCTAAACCCTATAAGCCCTACAACTCTTGCAGCTCCAAAGGATCGGCAACAGCAGCTTCGCAATGCCCGTGCGCGCGCAGCCCAAGCAGCCCAAGGGCCGATACCAGTGGCTCGAGCATCAGCGTCTCGGGCGCGTCAGGCGTTGAACTTAGGGTTTAGGGTTTAGGGTTTAGGGTTTAGGGTTTAGGGTTTAGGGTTTAGGGTTTAGGGAGTATAGTTGAACTGGCTCTCGCTTGAGAAGGCGTTGTCCTTGACCACCCCAAACCTCGAAACCCTCAAAGCCCTAAGCCCTCAAAGCCTTGGTTATGGTCAAAAAGCGTTGAAGGGTTCAGACTGTATGTGTTTAGGCCTTCAGGTACGTACTCCGTTTTGAGTTCTCTAATTTCTGGGCCGATTTTGGCGTCTGCACAGCCACTGCGATCGTTCCACTGCTAAAGCCCCTTCAGGGGAGTAGGCTTGAGGGATTTTGGGGTTGAGAATTTTCGGGCAGAGCTTTCCTAAAGCATGCAGCCTCTTTCCTTGAACCTTTAGCTCACCCTAAACCCTAAACCCTAAACCCTAAACCCTAAACCCTAAACCCTAAACCCTAAACCACCTTGAGCTCGGAAATGTCAAAGGGGCGGTCTGACGACTTCCTTACTTGGAGGTTCATGGTACTTATGAACCAGTTAGAACTGTACTTATAACCCACGCATGAGCCCCTCAAGTGTCCTAATCTGGATATAAGTATAGTTTCAAAGTGCCGTGAAAATTGGTCCATAAGTACCCCTAAACCCTAAACCCTAAACCCTAAATCATAAGTAACATGAACCTCCAAGTAGAGCCTGGGCAGACTGAGGTTCCGAGGTCTCTCAGAGGCGCCAAAGATCTGGATGCTGGGCCGAAAGGTTTAGGGTTTAGGTTTTAGGGTTTAGGGTTTTGGGTTTAGGGTTCATTTGGGCTTCTGGAGCTTTTGGGGAACCACAGCTTCTAAGCTCAGATGGGAATTCGGGCTTAGGGTTCATAGGGGGCCCTTGTTTATGGAGTTTCTAGATAGGGGGAATGTAGCCCCCAAGCATGGCTTTTGAAAACGTCCGCGCACGGGCGCCTGGGTGGCTCTGTCTGTAACTCCTCAACCCTAAACCCCAAACCCTAAAACCTAAACCCTGAGCCCCAAACCCAATACCTGAGCCTAAAGACTAGGACTCCTAGCACGCAGACGGAATTCCCCCTGTACTATCACAAGGAAAAGAATTTACAAAAATGATGGCGGCGTGGGTGTCTCAAGCCTCAGGTTCAGGGCCTAGGGTCGGATAAGGGGTTTAGTTGCCGGTTTGGATTTTTCGTTTAGGGGCTCTGAAGATTTCTTATGTCATCTCCTTCTGTCCGTATCCTTCGCAAAACATCATGGAACTAACGCGAAGGTCAAACCATGTGCTGATGTCAACCCTAAACCCTAAACCCTAAACCCTAAACCCTAAACCCCAAACCTACACTACTCGAACACCTGTGCCCGAAGCAATCCTTGCAGCCGAGGCTGCACATGGAACCTGGTAACTGCGTCGACGTGGGACGAATACAGATGGCGACGTGCGCGGTGCCTTGGTGGCCACCCCTAAACCCTAAACCCTAAACCCTAAACCCTAAACCCTAAACCCTAAACCCCAAACCCCAAACCCCAAACCCCAAACCCTAAACCCCAAACCCTAAACCCAACCTTGGGGACCGCACTAGTGGTCCCCGGACTCTAAGGGGCCCCTGGAGAAGGAGCTAGGGCCCCTACAAGGCTTGTACTTGTTCTTAGGGTTTAGGGTTTAGGGTTTAGGGTTTAGGGTTTAGGGTTTAGGGTTTAGGGTTTAGGGTTTAGGGTTTAGGGTTTAGGGTTTAGGGTTTAGGGTTTAGGGTTTAGGGTTAGGAGCTAGGGCCCCTACTTGTTCTTCGTGGAGCGAGAAGAGCCGTCTCTAGCCCGAATGCGCACATGGAGTATCATGATTCTTTCGTTTAGGGTTTAAATTATGGGTTTAGGGTTTAGGGTTTAGGGTTTTGGGTTGATTAGGATCACGACTTGATTTTGGTGATGTTGATGATGATCGTTCTCATTGCTTTTGCTTCTGCTTTTGTCCTCAAAGGAACGACTGAAGGCCTTGGGCAAGTACCTGTACCGGAACAGACGAAAATGCATTTAATTAATACTTATATAATGAGTAATCAATAATTATCTTTACGTAGATTTGCTATTATTAAAATTAATTATATATTGCATAACTGTACTAGAGTGCGAGCTCAATCTGAAGACCCCAGTTGTTGACTAGATCCCACAGGTCCTCTGAGGATTAGGGATGTAGTTGACAAGGGTGATTGGTCAAGGGGTTAAGACTCGTACCCCTAAGGTTACACCCCTAAAGGTTTCCCTTAATGTACTCCTAAGATTTTCCCGTGGAGGTTCAAGGCAGAGACCCTAAACCCTAAACCCTAAACCCTAAACCCTAAACCCCATTTGGATGTATGACCTCGAGCGCTTCTGTCGCAGAGTGCCAAGGATCGATCCCTGCGGTCCGGAGAAGCTTCCGCAGTAGCCCTGGCAACGGCCACTCGACTTCGGCCATGAACCCTAAGCCCTAAATCCTAACCCTTAGACCCTTAAACCCTTAATCCTTTAAACCCCTAAACCCTTAAAGACCCAACCCTTCAAGCCCCAAACCATGAATCCGAAAGCCTTGGCCCTGAACCCAAGTCCCTTTCACCTGCGTTTGGTCTTTGACATGAGGGGCCGAGCGGACTCAGACGACATGGCTACCTTTTCGGCTCTATTAACATGGGCTTAAAGCACCCGGGAAGATTGAAGGCTGCGAAGAAGAATGACGCTTGCAGAAGGAAACCAGTGAATGCCGAACCCTGCGCAGCAAAGATTAAACTTGTAAACCAAGGCACACCAGTCCCTCAATCTGAGCCTAGAAACATGTGGATGTGGGGTTGCCGACACTAGCGGTACCTTCTTGGGGTCCTGATTCTAAGGGGAACCCTAAACCCTAAAACCTAAACCCTAAACCATCCTACTATGTTGGGGATCTAAAATTGGGCGTCCCCCTACTGTCGTAAGCCCCCACATCGAGTCGGCGCGGAACTCTGAAAGTTCGTAACCTAAACTCGAAACCCGAAGCCCGACTGGGTGTCATCCCGCCGTTGCATCAATCTTCAGCCGACAGCTTGAAGCCAGAATCCCCAAACTCACCAGGGTTTAGGGTTTAGAGTTTGGGGTTTAGGGTTTAGGGTTTAGGGTTTAGGCCGTGACGAAATAGGGTTTAGGGTTGAGGGTTTAGGGTTTAGGGTCTAGGAGCTGCTGATTCCGTGCACCCTCCAGTTCTAGGACGCTTGGAGGGGTTGAGGTTTAGGGTTTAGGGTTTAGGGTTTAGGGCTTAGGGTTTAGGGTTTAGGGTTTAGGGTTTAGGGGGTTGCTTTCCGCGCCCATCCCCCTCCAGCGCAGTGGTCTAAGGATCGCACAGCGCGAGGTGGGCCCTGTTGCGCATGAACCCTAGGCCCTAAAATCCTTGAACCCTAAACCCTAAACCCTAAACCCTAAACCCTAAACCCTAAACCCTAAACCCTAAGCCCTAAACCAACATGTCTTAGGTCAGTGGTTCAACATGTTGAATGGAACCAAGGAAAAGTTGGCGATCAGACAAAGTGTAGGTCCTTGTTAATTGGGAAACCCTAAGCCCCAGGATTTGCCAATTTGTGTTCTAGAGTGTAGCGTGTAGGGATTCTGGTTTCGGAACCACCCTATAACACTAAACTCCAGTTGGGGTTGGGGCGCCTGGGGTTTTGGTGGCTTTGGGGGCTTTGGCTTTGGGCTAGGGCGGGAGCCAGGTTAAGGTTCATGGGGGCCTAGGGCTGAATGCCTTTAGGGTTTAGCCTGTAGGGTTTAGGGTTTAGGGTTTAGGGTGCGGAGCTGCAATTGGTATTGTAGAAAGGAGTTAGTGTTGGAAGTTGAAAGGGTTAATGAACCCGTAAACTATGTTTGGCTCAAGGATGGCCAGCCCGTCCAAAGAAAAAAGTCCGTGTTTGGGAGTGAGGGTTGGGTTAGTGCCCCTCTACTTGTGTAAGGGTGCCCCTTCCTTGTTGCTCTTATCCGTGTTCTTGGTTGTTTCTTGGTTCGATCTGGGAAATATAAGTTCAGGGCGATTAGGGGAGTTGATTTCCTTCCTTGGTTGTCCCCCCGTAGGTTATGAGCCCAAATTAGGTTCCCTGCGGTTAAGTGTTCTTTCAAGGTTTTTGGGATCAAGAAGCAATGCCTTCTCCGAAGCGATGGCTCCAACTTGCCTCGGATGGTGGACAAGATGGTGGAGCTGGAAATGGTGCAGCTGAGTCTCTGGGTGAAAGATCGGTGTTGGAAGAGGTGATTCCCGGCGCTGAAGAACATCTGGAAGAGGCCTTGGTTGCAGAAAGCCCCAATGTGGGTATGAATCCCAATAGGGATATGGTTAGCAATGCTGAAGCTGAAGGACGTGCTGTTTCTGTATCGCCAAAGCCTGGTGAGAAAAGGAACTGGGACGCGACTGGTGGTATAGATCGTGAAATGGAGGTGACTGTTTTACGAGTGTTGCACAAACACGGGTATCAGCCGTCGTCTTCGACTTCGGGTCGAATGGTAGACCAAGAGTCTCAGACCGATCTGATTGGAGAAGTGCTGCAAGCGGCCAGGAGGCCTCTGAACAAGATCAAAAGGGATCCATCTTCGAGTTCCCAAGGTGGTGGAAGCGGTCATGGACAGAAGGGTGCGGACAGCTTTGAAGCTGCACCTGCTGCTGGATACGCCATGGGGGAGGAGGAGATCCTACAGATGGAGGCTGAGAGGTTGCGACAGTTGTCCGAAGAAGAGGACGAGATGCGACAGGTCTCTGAAAGGGATGGTTTTCGGAAAGACGAGCATCTGATCAAAGCGTGCGATGGGACAACGTGGGAATGGCACCTCCATGAAGATGGGAGACAATATTATTACTGCCTGGATACGCAGGAAAGCAAGTGGACATTGCCGGTGGTAGGTGAAAAGATGAAGAGTGACGAGGTGGTTGGGTCTCCTTCGGGCAATGAGCTGGAAATGGAGGCGGCACTGGATTCTTCATCCTCTACTCCGAAGACTGAGTCTACGAGGGCATTCCAGGGTAGTGTAAATAGTTTAGGTGAAAAAGATTTTTCCTCTACTATCAGGGATAGCGGTCCTAGGGCTGGTGGTGACGCCCCGACCTCGGGTTCTCCTGATGAGGAGGAGATTCCTGGAAACCGAACAGACATCGCTGGAGCTCAACATCTGGATCGGGAAGGAATGGGAGCACTTTCTGAGGGTGTGGCAGCGGTGGAATCGGTAGGTCCAGAAGAAAAGATTCCCAATGTGGAGATCGGAACTGTGTCGGCTGCAGAAGATCGAGTGGTGGATGTGGTACCTGTCGTTCGGGAATGTGGTCCTGGAGATTTGGAAGACGGAGGGAAAAGGTCGTGTGTTGCGACTGAGGAGGTCTCTTCGTTTGGTGCCAAGGTTCCTGCCATTCAAAGGGAAAAAGAAGCTTCTGGAATAGCTGGAGACACAGAAGATCTGAAAAATGAGGCCTGGAGCGCCAATGATGCGCGGGTCGATGCGCCAGATATTACCTGGAGTGCGAAGGAAGCACGGGTTGAGGTGCATATGGCGTTACGTTCCACGGGCGACTGCAACAATGGGGCGCAGGTCTCCGCAGCAGCTGATGATGGAGGTTCACAGGTGGACGCACTGGTGCAACCTGAAGTTAGCAGCGAGGAACGAAATGACAAGGGCTACACCGGAGCCGATGAGGCAGCTGTGGTCAATGATGGTGGAAATTCTCCTTTGGAGGCCATGGAACCAAAGGATCCTGCGGTGGAAGAAAGCATGCCTGCCGTGGATGATCGACTCAATTGCCCTGCAGTGGAGGAAGATTTGCCTGCTGCAGAAGGTGTGACAAAGGACTCCAATGATGGGTCCACTCCCATGAAGGGAGAAGTGTTGCCGTCTGGAAGTTCGCCGGAAGTCGACACCGAGCGAATTACAGCAGATGAGGCAAAGCCTTTGGCGGAGAAAAAGAGAGGTCCTGAAGTCCAGGAGCACAAAAAAGATGAGCTTGTGGGACTCGTGGAGCAGGACGAGCAGTGTGACTCAAAGGTGAAAACAAAGGATGCGCCAGGAGCCGATGATACAGAGGTGGTTTCTGAAGAGCAAGCAAAGAAAGTGCCCCGAGCGGGAGCCTTGGAATCACCTGGGACACATTGCTATCAAGAGGGAGATGAGATCATGGGTCTAGTGCGCTGCATCAATGGGTATGGAGCTTTTTTGGACCATGGTGATTTGAATGTATTGATTCCTGCAGAAGGGAACAATACGTGCCATTTCAGATTTGGTGATACTGTCAATGGAACAGTGAAACTAGTGGAAGATGATGGTACCATAATCTTGGACACCTTTCTGGTTTTGGAAGAGGACGTGGAGGACCCTTCCTCAACGCTGCGGAAGTGGAAACCCAGCGGCTGGAGTACGTGGTGGACGAATCCATGGTATGTTGGTCAGTGGTACCGAGATTCCAACGGTCAATGGGACTGGAAACAGGAGGAAGAGCAATCCGATGAGGAGCTTGTGATACAAGAGTTATCCTCTGAAGAACGAGAAGAAAGACAACTTTATGGAGAAAAGATCTACAAAGCTCTTCTGGAGAATGGAAACGAAGAGGAAGCCTATGTTGGCAAAATTACAGGGATGCTGTTGGGTCGCCCGATGGAAGATTTACAGGAGTGTGTTGCAGATCAGGCATTCCTCAATGCGGAAGCTCGGCGCGCGTATGGCATCTTGCAAAATGGTGGTTGGAAGCCTGATGGTACAGAAAGCACAGGCTTGGGGGAGTTAACCACTTTTTCCCGAAAACAGTACCATAACGCGCTTTTCGAACTGGCATGCAAAAAAAGGAGATTTTCTCGACCAGTTGTGGGTGAAGCGGTGGCAACGGTGCTGAATCAAGGGGAAGATGAGTTTTGGAACGCGCTTTGGTTGGACACCAAGCTATTTTTGCAGGAGCTTGATGGTGCAGTGCAATCCATGAGCAAAAGGGAGAACAAGCCAATGGAAGCCTACATGGACCCTGACCAGTACAAAAAGGCTTACATGACACCAAAGACTGTGTTGTCA